TGAGAGTCTTTAGCAGTGTGGAAAAAGACAGAGTGAATCTGGGTGTGAGAAATATATTTTTAATATGTACCAAGATGTATGTTTTCCATTGCAAACAATATTTTCCCTCTAACAGTAACGTGTTACTGTACCATAATATACCATAATCTTTTCTTCAGAGAAATATACATTGAGAGTATCATTTTGCAATGTATATTTTTATGATTTCTGATGCTCATTTTCCGGGGATGTTTATCTGGAACTTTTGCCAGCACTCAAAATCTCCCTTTGGTAAAACCTTAAAACAGAAAACTATATGGTTAAGAGTTGTGTAATGTTATCTTATGGTCAGAAAAGAGGACTGCTTCCATCCACAGACTATAAAATCCACACTCCAATACACTTTCAGTCAAACTCCTCCTAGGTGATGGTGGTGTATGGTCACACAAGGGCCTGATCTAGTTCTCAGTTCTGATTTCAATGGGGTATGGATCAGCCCTATAATGTGCATGTGGGGTTATCATTATTGAATATTCCCTAATATGGAGGTGATGGTATGATTAGACTGCCTACAATGGCATGTGGCCCATCTGTGACTGCTAGTAGCAAATATCCCCAGTGGCTGGAGATGGGGTACTAGATGGGGAGAGCTGAATTACTAAAGAGATTCTTTCCCAGGTGTCTGGCTGATGGGTCTTGCCATCATGCTCAGGGTTCAACTGATCACCATATTTGGGGCTGGGAAGGAATTTGCCCCCAGGTCAGATTGGCAGAGACCCGAGGGGGTGAGGAGGAGAAAGGTTTCACCTTCCTCTTTAGCATGGGGTGACTGATGGTTTAAACTAGAGTAAATGGTGCATTATCTGTAACTTGAAGTCTTTAAATCATGATTTGAGGACTTCAGTAGCTCAGCCAGAGGTGATGAGTCTGTTATAGGATGGTGTGGGGGAGGTCCTGTGTCCTGCGATGTGCAGGTGGTCAGACTAGATGATTATGATGGTCCTTTCTGGCCTTAAAGTCCATGAGTCTGACTAGTGTTTGCCTACTTCACTTGAAATCCTAGAGAAATAATAGTTACATTTCTGATATTGCTAGATTATTAATTATTGTTATTATTTACATTATCTTGCGGGTAGGATCTTGTAATCGGTAGAACTCAACAAACCAAATACTTGTACCAAGGCTAAATAAATAAATAAATAAATATGAAAAATAAAATGAGGCTAAAAGTGTTATTCTGAATTCAGAGTATTTTTCTAATTTTTTTGAATACTAGCAAGCAAATAATTTAACTATTTGATAAAGATATTCAGTTGCAACCAAATGTTCTCCTAGGACACTCAAAATTTATGAATTCATGAAGGGTTGTTCTGCCACCTCTGTACAATTAAATAATGTTAGGGCATTGGGTGCATACATTATTGCAAAGTTTGATGTTGGTTCTTATTAGCAAATAGACTTAAATTTTCTTCATAGTAGGGTTTAGATTAAATTTAACCAAACTGTAATTAAGCTTGACTTATGAATCATTTTGATGAGAAAATATAATTAATTTTTCCAAGTTTTCTGATGTAATTAAACAAAATAAAAATAAAGCCAACTTGTAGTTAAATGCCTGAAAACTTTTTCCTTACCATTTTTAAATCACTAAACAGGATCTTAGCTATTAAACTTAAAGTTCCTTTAATGGGAGTTAAAGACTTAAATCCCTGCTATGGCTCAAAAATGTATGGGCTCTGTAGGTACTTCATAACCTTTAGTCAGGGCAGGTTTTAAAATGTTGATGTTCTTTGTTCTAATCAGAAGTTTTTATGGTTAAATAAATAAAGCAGTTAATATGGATCATGTTCATAAACATGTGACTCTTTGTGTATATGTGTGTGTGTGTACACACACACATATATACACACACAAACAAACAAGCAGAGATTTAAAAGTTTTAAATAATTAAAAACAAGGGTGTGGCGGGTTGGATCACAGAAACCCCCTTGGGAGCTGCCACTTGATGTGCAAAGACTACCTCTGCTCCTGTTTTCCCTGCAAGCTCAGGACTCCAGCACCCTGTCTTGCTGAGCCAGACACTCCCATCTGCTCCAACACAGACTCAGGGTCTAAATCACTTGTCCCAGAGCTGCAAGTTTACCCAAAAACAGCTCACAGAAGTGTGCTTGTCTTTAGCACTCAGATGCCCAACTCCCAATGGGGTCTAAACCCAGATAAATCCGTTTTACCCTGCATAAAACTCATAAATTGTTTGCCCTCTATAACACTGATAGAGAGATATGCACAGTTGTTTGCTCCCCCAGGTATTAATACATACTCTGAGCAAATTACTAAATAAAAAGTGATTTTATTAAATACAGACAGTAGGATTTAAGTGGTTCCAAGTAGTAACAGACAGAACAAAGTAAGTCACCAAGTAAAATAAAATAAAATGCGCAAATCTATGTCTAATCAAACTAAATACAGATAAGTTCCTCACCAGTTCCAGAATGCTCCCTTTTACAGCTAATCTCCTTTTAGCCTGGGTCCAGCAATCACTCACACCCCCTGTAGTTACTGTCGTTTGTTCCAGTTCCCTTCAAGTATCCTGGGGGGGGGTGGAGAGGCTCCTTCCTTAGCCAGCTCAAGACAAAATGGAGGGGTCTCCCACGGGTTTAAATAGACTCTCTCTTGTGGGTGGAGACCCCCCTCCTCCCTCGTATGCAAAGTCCAGCTCCACCTGGGCAAGTCACATGTCCCTGCATGACTCAGTCTTTACAGGCCGAACCCATTGTTCACATGGTATCTTGCATGTCTCCAGGAAGACTTCTTATGTGGATTGGAGCATTCCAAGATGCATTGTTCTCCAAGTGTTTCCTGATCAGGTACTTAACCTGGCAAATTCCTTCCTAAAGAAGCTCACCAAATGCCTCACAAAGCTTACTTAGAAACCAAGCAAGCATACAGCCCATATTCTTAACCTCAAGTAGAAAATGATATATATGTGCAAATAGGATGAATAGATATCGTAGACCATAACCTTTACGGAGATATATTACATGGCACAGGTAGCACAAAACATATTCCAGTTATGTCATACATACATTTATAAGCACACACACCCCCATAAAGCCTTATGGGGTGCGCTGTCACAAAGGGTTTATAATGGAAAGTATTTCACAACCTCTACTACAGGCATCAGCTCTACGTTATACACTCTATGTGTGTGTATGGGTACACTGTGTATTATATATATATACACACACAGTCACTCTCTGTCTTTTTCCCTTTCTTTCTCAGGTACATACATATACACAGTGTGTGTGTGTATACATACACATTATAGAATATGTTCAATATACCTGGGGCCTCTGACTTGAGGGTACAGTAATGGAATGTAGAGCCTTTCATCATTTTGTCATATCTAAGTCCTTAGTGACACAAAGTCATTACAATTTGGTACCTTATATAAAATAAGCTGGTGGTTTCCATCTAGTGGAAAGTTGTCCATGTCTCCCCAAAAACAAACCATTGTAACTGGTGCTAACTTGAAACTACATTGATCGTCTGAGGCTATGTCTACCTTTGGAGCTAAGGGTATGATTCCCAGCTTGAGTACACATACTTGTGCTCACTCTCATTGAGCTAGCACACTAAAAATAGTGTAACTGTGATAGCGCTGGCAGTGGTGAACAGCGACATTGACTAGCTGCCCCGAATATAAACCAACCTGGACCCTGTGGGTACATACTTACGACAGCTAGCTCATGCTGCCGCTTTCCACCTCCCGTGCTACTGCAGCTACCTCGATGAGAGCCAACATAAGGAAGTCTACTCAAATGTGAATTACACTCCCAGCTCTTGGTGTAAATGTAGTCCAAGAACTGAATAGATATGGTGACAGAATTACTTCTCACCCCATTGGGTCCCTACCTCTTTTCCTATTTCCTCTTAAATTCCTTGTCTGTACCTTTGTCATTTCTCATCTCCTTCTCTTTTCTGCCCTGCTCCTCATGTCACTCTAGGTGTATCCAAAATCACAATCCTTTTTCACCTACTGGTCTATGTCACTCCCCTCTTTAAACCTTTTCACTAGTTTCCCACCCCCCTTCATATCTAGGTAAGTCTTTCACCAATGAGAAGGCCCTGTTCCTCCAGAATAACCCTCCAAATGTGTGAATCTCAAGAATTTTGTAAGAAAACTTTAAGTTCTTTCCGAATGAGCAAACTCTGCCTCAGTGGAAGAATTTGGAGGAATATCTGCTGAGGAAGTCTTGCACACGTCATCCTCCTTCCATGCCCTTTTCCTGTGAGTTTTCTTGTGAGAGGGCACTAACAAACCTTCAGGATTCAGCCAACTAAAATAATTTTCTGATTGTTTCTTTGTCATTATAAATGTTTTTATTATGAGCCTTTTGCTTTTATTATAACTTTTTAAAATTACTGTATACTGTTCTTGGTACTGACTTGGCTTCTAGTATGTTCCCACTAGAATCAAGAAATAACTGCAAACCTCAGTTCCTTGCGGTACCTTTTCCCTAGTTTCTTCACACACTAAAACATCACCCACTCACTCACACTCATGAATATAAATAAGTAACACAATCCTGAGCTAATTAAGCTATTTCCCAAGCAGACTGGGAAGAAAACAATAGAGAAAGGTGCGATTATCTTGGTCTTTCTTTCTTTCTATACTTAATGTGCTCAGTTTCTGCAGTGATGGGGCCCATATACATATCTAAACAGACACACAGATGATAATTTATTTTTCCATTTCTAGTTGTTCCCCTATTTCAGGTTGTTTATTGCACTCTGTCTTCATAACAAAGCTCCATAGTGTAACCCTCCCTTTGTATCCTGAGTATATTCACATTTGAATTACAATTATAGCTGTTTCATCCTAACATCCTGTTTTTTCTCAAGGATCATGTTAGGATGAGTGTGAAGGTCATTGACTAATCCTGTTATTGTTTTTGTAGCTTTAGCAACTGAATTAATTTTCCAGTAGGACTTACTCTGAAATACTTCTCTCTACATAGGAGAACATAATGGAAGTTATTAGAAATCAAGAGTTTTTACTACTGCCGGCTGAGGAACTACATAAACTTCTTGCCAGTGATGATGTGAATGTTCCTGATGAAGAGACTATTTTCCATGCCTTAATGATGTGGGTTAAATATGACATGCCGAGGAGATGTAGTGACCTCAGTATGCTGCTTGCCTATATCAGATTACCACTGCTTCCACCACAGGTAATGCATTATTTTTTTGGTTTGTTTTATAAAGTGGCATACTAATTAGTTATTACAAAAATAGCAATTCATAACTGGTAAATGTTTTATTTCATTTTCTGATAGTTTAAAAACAAAAAACAGTTCAAAGCATGGAATTCAAATTTTACAGATAGTTTGCTGATAATTCCTTTGTGTTGATGACTATTCTCCATTCAGCTAGACTAGATTATCCTAAGAATGATTACTTACAATAACGGTGGGATTCACAAGGCGGATGTAGCTGCCGAAATCTAACATTTGGGAGCCACTGGCTTTCACAAAACCCCTGTTCAGGTGCTGACTAACCCTGTAGGCACCTATAGTCCCTTATAGTTTCCACAGTTAGTCTCCAAGGTGCCTACATTTCTCTTGCTAGCCACGTACACAACTGCCTAAGTTCTGACTTCACCCAGGAGGTTGGTGCTCGATTTACACTTATGCCTCAGCCCCAACACAGTGCACAAACTAGGCATTCCCCTACTTGCCTTGCCTTCGAGGCCTAATCTGATAGGCATGCTTTGAGCAAGCTTAAACTCAAACCGAAGATGACAATGGCAGTAATGCCTTTCTCCCTCCCCTAATAACCTATACCCCGTGGTTAGAGCACTCACTCAGCTTATGGGAGACCTGAATTCTGATCCCTCCTCTGTCTGTTATGGAGCAGGGACTTGTACTTGGGCTTCTCACCTCCCAGAAGAGTGCTCTATCCCCTGAGCTATGGGATATGCTGGGGCAGGTTTCTCTGTCTTGCCTGTTGGAGCTGTTCCACAGTGCATAAATACTTAATCCTATCCTAAGTGTTTATGTAGAATATTATCTCACCTGAAATTCAGACAGAAGTTGGTGAATGTCTGTATTAGTGGTGTAATTTACTGGTTTGGTCTCATTTCTTGGAGCCACCTGCCAAATATATGAAGTGAGCAAAGAAACTGCATATTTTAGTTATTTGTTGCCAAGTGGTTGCATTCTGAATATTTTAAACATGTGACTCGAGGATGTTTTGCTGTTTACTGGCAGCTTGGATCCTTAGCTGCAGCTAATGGTCATACCAGACATTATGTCTTATTAGAACATTCAACATTATTTTCATTTCATGCTATCTTTCTGGATGTATTTTATATATTTTTCCTACTAACAAGTTTTAATTAAGTTTTAATAGAATATAATACAGAGTATTACTGCCACAAAGCAGCCCTAGGGAATAGAGGAGGAGACACTCACAGTTTCTGGATAAAGTGTCTAGAGAGCTTTTGGAACACGTTGGGGGTAAACTATGTTGCTTGAAACTGTTATATGTACTATACCTTTAAATTTCTGATCATCTACAGAGATAAAAGCTTTTCTGTTCTCAGAGTTGCTCAGAGGGAAGACCTGTATTATGCTCTCCCATGGAGACTTGACTTTTGATGGTGGTTGTTGGTTTATTAAAATGTAAATGCATTTTTCAGACTGAATGTATGTTTTTCTCTCTGTGAATAATGTAATATCAAGGACTTTTTAAAATCCAGTATGTGTTGTATCTCATTTTTTCAAGACCGAAGTATAAATATGTAGCTGGGTGATTTTAGTAAATTAGGCATTAGGTTTTGTAGAAAGTAAAACAGGGTCAGTTGAACCTAATGAGTGTAAAATAAGAATATAGACAACTGTTTAAAACTACTTTTCTATTTACAACTGTTTGGTGTTTAAAGGGAAACTTTCATGTCAAATTTGCCTCCAAATTTAAGAGAAAAAATGAAAAAACTTTCATAAAAACCAATAGAAATGTATAAATTTCAATAGAATTGTATTTTTTTAAAATTCCTTAGTGTTTGCATAGCAATCTAGCCAGTGCAGCCTTATTTCGGTATATGAGAACACGGAAGTTAAACTGATTGGAAAAGGAGAGAAATTAAATAGTATATTTCAATTATCTGATCAGAGAAGAATACAAAAAAGAAACAATTAGTATAATTAGTGAAAAGTAAGTTAGATTTTTTTTTCCAAATTCTATTTTGAAATCTAATGTCACAATGATGGAATATTAAAGCAATTCAGTTTGTGAATTGAAAGATGTTTTGTCAGCCGTGCAAATTACCCCAGAAATCTAAAAGTGAATTTACAGATTATTATGGTTTGCACCTCATCACTAGAGCTGAGCAAAAATGTGAATTTCCATCCTGTGGAACATTTGTTCCCATCTCACATCAGGACAAAAAGTTTAAATATCAATGTTTTTCACAGAATGAAACATTCAGAATAATTTTGATTTGGAATTGTTGAAACTTTTTGTTTGAAGTCAATTTGACTTACATTGGCCTAAGGTGCTGTGATGCCTCAGAGGAATTCTAGTTTGGGTGCCTTATCCCCTCATTCTTCCTTAAGAGCCTGGCTACTTGGTCTCCCATAATGCACTACATGATTCAGTCAGAGAGGAGGCAGCACCTCATGGGAAATGTATTCCAGTCAAGGAGCATGGTCCATAGAAAAGAATTAGGGCATGAGGCACCTGAACTAGGACTCCCACTAGGCACTCTAGCACATAGTTAGATGCACTTTAATGTCAAACTGACTGGAAACAAAGTATTTTGGTTGAGTTCAACAAACTGAAATGTTTAGACTTGGGCCAAACCAACCTGAAATGGAAAATCAAAGAAGTTTGGCAATTCCCCCCCGCTGCCCCCCCGCCCTGCATAAATTGCACTTTTCATCAAAAAATCATTTTGACAGAATATTCCCAACTGGCTGTACTCATCACCAGTAATAAACAGTTTTAACTTACCATTGCTGTTGACAATACATTGGCCAAAAATGAATCCAGCTCACAGTCGCTAGTAAAATCAGCAAAGATATAATTTAGAATATATTTAACTCTCCTAATGTTTTGGGGTCTCTCTGACCCCAACCCACACTTAAATCTTAATAGAAATTTCCATGCCAAACCTGTTTCTATTAAGAACATAAGAATAGCCCTACTGGGTAAAACCAAAGGTCCATCTAGCTCAGTATACTGTCTTCCGATAGTGGCCAGTGCCAGGTGCCCCATAGGGAATGACCAGAACAGATAATCATCAAGTGATCCATCCCCTATTGCTCATTCCCAGCTTCTGGCAAACAGAGTCTAGGGACACCATTCCTGCCCATCCTGGCTAATAGCCATTGATGGACCTATCCTCCATGAATTTATCTAGTTCTTTTTTGAACCCAGTTATGGTCTTGGCCTTCACAACATCCTCTGGCAAGGAGTTCCACAGGTTGACTGTGTGTTGTGTGAAAAAATACTTCCTTTTATTTGTTTTAAACCTGCTGCCTATTAATTTCATTTGGTGACCCCTAGTTCTTGTGTTATGAGAAGTAGTAAACAACACTTCCTTATCTACTTTCTCTACACCAGTCATGATTTTATAGACCTCAATCATATCTCCTCTTAATCATCTCTTTTCCAAGCTGAAAAGTCCCAGTCTTATTAATTTCTCCTCATACGGAAGCCGTTCCATACCCCTAATAATTTTTGTTGCCCTTTTCGGAACTTTTTCCAATTCCAATATATCTTTTTTGAGATGGGGCGATCACATCTGCATACAGTATTCAAGATGTGGGCATACCATGGATTTATATAGTGACAACATGATATTTTCTGTCCTATTTTCTATCCCCTTCTTTAATTATTCCCAGCATTCTGTTTGCTTTTTGGACTGCTGCTGCACATTGAGTGGATGTTTTCAGAGAACTGTCCACAATGACTCCAAGATCTCTTTCTTGAGTGATAACAGCTAATTTAGACTCCATCGTTTTATATGTATAGTCGGGATTATGCTTTCCAATGTGCATTACTTTTCATTTATCAACATTAAATTTCCATTTTATTGCCCTGTCACCCAGTTTTGGGAGATCCTTTTGTTGCTCTTTGCAGTCTGCCTGGGTCTTAACTATCTTTCGTAATTTTGTATGATCTGCAAATTTTACCTCCTCACTGTTTACCCCCTTTTCCAGATCATTTATGAATATATTGGATAGGACTGGTCCCAGAACAGACCCTTGGAGGACACCACTATTTACCTCTCTCCATTTATACCTACCCTTTGTTTCCTATCTTTAACCAGTTACCAATCCATGAGAGCACCTTCCCTCTTATCCTGTGGCAGCTTACTTTGCGTAAGAGCCTTTGGTGATACAATAAGTATCTTCAAACTAGGATGACGTCAATCTTTCTGCATTAGTTTTATAATCCTACCTGTTCTGGATTTTTGGTAGCAAAAAAAGTTACTAAAAAGGTAATGGGGTTAATTTGACTAACGTTGCGGGATCAATGGAGAAAATGAAAGTACTACACTTCCAAGGTCTTTGAGGGTCTCTTGGACACCAAACATTTACAAAAATTTAAATAAAACATAACACGCAAACCTCTGCCTTTTCTTTCTTTACGTATTCTCCGACTATGACTCATTGTTTCATTGAACATACACATTGCATGTCTGAATGTGTATGTTGTTTGGATTTTGTTGAATTGCACTTGGCCTAATCTTTGAGTAAAAGAAGTATGTTCCTCAGGGCCCTGGGTTCAGATATGATGAAACCACTGGTGCAAGAAAGGAACACTTCAGGCTTGCCTCAGTCTACTAGGAAAGTAGTGTCTAGTGTGCTAGGTATTGATCCAGAGCCTAAGGAGGTTACATCTGTTCCAAAGTATGAGACAGAAAACACTAAAATGTGCAAAGTATAAAAGCTGGTATGTTCAAAATTTGTCACATTTTTGCTCTATTTGTTCACAGTGGTGATGCCATTTACCACCACATTGCTGTGTTTGTGCCTTTTTATATTTTTACTGTTGCTATCTATTTTCATTTCTAAACATGGGGTCAGTTAGACCCTGACAGCTTACATAGTGTGTAGCTTTTATATAAAAAAGTGTCAGTTAGACCCCAACACAAGTACTGAGTAGTGTGCTTCTCAATCTAGGAACGTTTTAACTAGTTCATAGTTTTATACTTCACTGGTTA